ACGTTGCGCGCTTCCCTTTGGGTTCTTGTCAACCTCCCTCAAACTGCTTCAGAAATCAAGAAGAAGCCAAGGTATCGCCATTGCCATTTTTCTTGACTATGGTCTAGCTATAGGAGGAGGAGCCTATCGCGTTCAGGCCTAAATTTACAGTTTGCGGACTGTCCATGCTGATTTGCTTTAGTCTTGCTTCATTCGAATTCCTAATGAGGAAAGTCCCTGTGGGAGCCCGTTCAAATTTTATTGTGGCTGCGTGGTCATAACACTCTCGATGGAAGTATTAGAGCCACGGATGAACGTATTGCTAAATTGTCTCACGACCTGGCGGCTTTGTCTTCATATTAGTCTTCCACGGCAGTCCACGTTCTAGCTTCCCGTGTGTAGCCGACCAAAGTATTTCCCTCTCAAGTTGCGTGGGATCCGTCGTGTGTATCATGGCCCGATTTCTTTTCTCATTTGTTTACTCAGCTGTTTCCTGGGATAGCTAGGTTTTCCTGTCCGTTGATTCTTTGTATGAAATTGAATTTTTGTCGAACAATGTTAGCCTCTCAACGGCAAAATTTTTTTGAGAGGTTCCAGTTCGGGGCACTTGCAAGTCGACCACAAACCCTCAGCAAACCATCTTCCAAGCGTTCCTGCCTTTCAAAGGACCTTTTCAACACAACCATCTGCATCGCAACTTTCTGCTGATGAAAGAACCTCAATGACTTGAGGGAAAGACACTTGCTATACTTCCTTGAGGATTTCCTTCTCGGCCTCCTGAAGCTCTTCCACCTTCAAGTAGCCATATTTCACGAATGGCACTTCGCCGCCCTGGACTTAGGATTCACTTGCAACTAAAGCGCTCCTCTTACTCTGCTGAACTTTCAGTAAAAGGTATGCCTTGCACCGCAACAACCAGGCTACAGCCCTTTTCAACTTCCACCAAGATAAGTAGCTTGCTATTAAGGGCTCCAGGAATTTACTAAGTAAACAGTCGAAGCCATTTATTTTTGTTTTGGACAAATCATGCTATTATTTGTTTATACTACTATTGAAAACTAGTATAGCAGGAGGCAACCAAGTAGTACAGGGTTTTGGTGAAAAATTTGAAACCTTTCCATCTAATTATTTTAGCCAAAATAAGCCAGGGAAATGTGTTCACGATCTTTTAGAAACAAAAAAACTGTCTTTTAGACCTTAAAAACAAGAGGTTAAAAAAACTCGACAAACTGGAATTTTTCCAAAAGGGTTAGTTTACGATTTTGGTCAAAAAGTGCAAAATTTTCCATCTTTTTCTTTCAGGCAAAATAGACCATCTAAATCTGTTTCACGATATTCTAGCAAAAAAAACGCCTCTCTAGGCCATAAAAAAAGAAGTTAAAAAAACTCGACAAACGGGTTAGTTTACGATTTTGGTCAAAAAGTGCAAAATTTTCCATCTTTTTCTTTCAGGCAAAATAGACCATCTAAATCTGTTTTACGATATTCTAGCAAAACAAACGCCTCTCTAGGCCATAAAAAAAGAAGTTAAAAAAACTCGACAAACGGTTATTTTTCCAAGGAGGTTAGTCCATGGTTTTGGTCAAAAATCTGAAACCTTGCCATCTTCTTATTTTACCCAAACTAGACTAGGGAAATACGGTGGCCCAGAAGGGTCACACATGCAAATTAAATATGTTGCTGCAAACTAAAAATTTTACCTACAAATTAAACAGTACATGCAAATTAGAAATTGTGTATGCCAACTAAAAATGTTACCTGCAAATTAAATATAGTACATGCAAACTAAAAATTGTGCTGCAAATTGAAAATACTACAGTTAATGCGAACTGAGAATTCGAGGCAACGTAACAAATTCGTTGCTGGGAAAATTGTGGAAAATGTTATCGTTAATAGTTGAAATTTCACTGTATTTGTTGTTAACATACTGCAAATAAATAAACAAGAGTTGCGTTAAATTCGCTAAATACCTTGCTGCATACTGAAATAGTTTACAAGGAGTATCTAAAATATTAAGGCGCCAAAAACCATAGAAGCAAAAAGAAAACATATCGATACAAATTAAAAATGAAAAGTTCTGTGCGCGCAGAATGAGTGATGAGGACCTGGTCCGAGCCGTGCGACCTAGCCTTACAGCCTCCAGCCCATTCATGTTTGGCGGGAAAGGAAGACATGCTGGTTCAGCTTTTTGCAATGATGTTCTGCTCATTTTGTGGCGAAAAAGTGTGCGACTGCTGTAATCTTTTGCCATAAATTTGGAAAAATGATAAGCTTGAGTATGGATAAGGAGAATGGTTCTCCGAGTGCCATACAGACGACGTCGGTGACAGCATCAAAGCCACTCTTAACCTTCACAGCATTCTGATCGTGGAAGGAAGTCGATCGTTCAAAGTATTTCAAGCCATCTCTAGCAAAAAGGCTGAAAAGGAACCGGATAGGGTTGAAAAGGAAGTTAAAGTCCAAGTTGGAATTTTCACGTTGAAGAACGGTGGTCTTTCTGTGAAGCGTGGCGTCACACTCCCAGTGACTGTATCACCCAAAAGCAATTCAGAGGATTTACTGAAAAGGGCTGTGGACAAACATAACCGCTTTAACAACAACTTAATTTCTTCCACGCTTCCATCATCATATAGACTGTTGTACCATGACAAATCTGAGTTGAAAACTCTTCCAGGAAGTGATGAAAAATTTGTATTACAACGATACAAAGAAGAAATCGGTAAATCATATGGAAGGGTAATGTTTCATTTGTTGTGCGGATGACTATCTGGACAACCTTCTGTACGAAGATGAAGATGAAAAAGTTTAGAAGAACCTGTGTTTGTCATCGAAATCCAGCAGATGCCTTCTCAAAGGGTTCTCTAAGTGTTTGTTGAGGCGAGAAGCTACTTGTCTTGTCGTAGGAATGGCTTCGGCTAATTGTTGATGCGTTAAGGGTTGTACGGAGGCTCTTCTGGGGTGACAGGGAGGAATAAGAACTTCGACCTTTAAACCATGGTTTCTTGCTAACTTTACTGCCTCTAAATCCACACCATTTACACCACCAGAGATTACAGTGAAAGCCATCCTGTCGAGTGTTTACGAGTAGAGGCAAACGTGATTTTTATAGAACAACAATGACGTCATTGCCCGGACATGTTCAATTCCCATAAGACTTAATGTCTTTAGTTGCATGCATGTCATAGTAAGAAATAGCTTTTTCACAAATGGTGTCATACGCTTGTTTGTTAAAGTCCAATAAATGACGGTTTAATCATGTGGTTATTCGATGATAAGGAACAGCCATGTAACATTCAAAATTATGGAGGTACTTCCAGTGATGCTGAGAAAACAACAACAGTGCAGCAGTTGACTGGCCAGCAACACAAGGCGGCTTTAAAAGGTAAAATATCTGAATTATCAGGACAGCTGCTGTCACGAGATATAAAGCATCTTACAGTCAGATGAAAGTTTATCTGTCAAGATTTTAAGGCGGCCATGGAGACTAAAATATATCCCAGATCATCACTTAAAGTTGTTTTCACTGGGGAGTCCGCTGTAGATGATACTGGATTAAAGAGAAAACTATTTTCACGTAGGATACACATAAGTCAGCATTATGGATAAACCGGAGGGATACTCCCCATAATGGCCTATGCGGGGAGGCTCCACCCGAAAGGGGTACCTTTTTCAGGTTTCAGGTATATGAAAGGGGAGGGGTTTCACTAGTTGAGGTATATAAAGGGGTAGGTAAATCTGTCATTGGAGTCTATGAAAGGGCCCAAGATATGGCTTTATAAAGTTGAGAAAACGTTCTATTTTTGTGATTGATTCCTATTTAAAAGACAATGCATTTACAGCAGTTAAAAGGGATGCAAAGTTCTATAAAAACAAGGTGGGTGAAAGGGGTACCATTTGTCAATAAAAGGTATACTAAAGGGGTACCTTTTTCGTGGAAAATGGTATATAAAAGGGTAAGAGGTTAGACCTCGGGCACAGCCTTCCCGTATTAAAATTTGTTAAGTAAGTACCCTTCCCTCCCCGCGGGGGGATAAAGTAAGAGATATTTGTTCATTTTTAGTCAAACTAAAAAGTGTTTTATGCATAGCTCAGTCAGTTCCTCATATGCTTATCTCGTGGCAGATAGCTATGCTTGGAATACCCCACTTTCAAAATTACAGCCAAAATCTTTCTATCCCACCAAAATTTTGCAGAAGTGTTTGTAAATGAGTTTCTTTTACTTAATTCATTTTCATTTGTTTCCTTTTTTGCAGAGTTGTTAATCATTATAAAGGAAAAATTTTTTAACGATGGGAAACCTGTCAACTCTACAGTGGCTCTGAATGCAGGCGACTTTAAACGTGTGGAAAAGCAATAAGGATGTCCATATTGCAAGGTGGCAGCACCCAACTTCATGTCACCAGACATAGCATCCTTTCTCGCTGGTGAGCCTCTTTCTTCATCAGAAAACCACGATCCCTTGATAAGAACAACTTATGAAAGGGTACATAAGCAACCCTGTATACCCTAAGGATAATATTATTGTTAAAAGTACAATGTTAACAATAAAATTATTGTATTTATTGTATTGTGTACTTTTAACAAATCCACACCTGAACCATGCAAATAAAACTGCTTCAGTAAGTTGAAAGCCAGAACATTTAACAATACCTTTTCTGCCGGAAATAGACTTTTTCAAGCTGACATACAAGCACATGTATAAAAAAAGTAATTGTAATCCCACAGGGCACAGAAGTACACCAACCGCCTTGTAACTTTAGGCAGAACATTGCAAGGAAAAATGTGTTTTACTACCTTTTTGTACTTCTTTGAAAATAAAGAAATTCACAATTTTCCTAATTTTTACAACCAAAAAAGTTTCACTGAATTGAAGCCCTGCAAAGATTTAGCAATGAAAAGAAGAATGTGATTGTTATTCAAAAGCCCCATGGTCTTCAGTTATTTATAAATTTTGGTACTCTTTGCAGACACTAAGGAAGAGAACAAAACGAAAAATCCTCTGTAATCTTTGTTTTCAGCTATCAAAGGCCACGAAAGATGAGCAATTGAGAGCTGAACTGACATGTGATGAGGTGCTTGATGTGCTGGAAAAAGAAGGATATTCAGGCATTCCACGAAAGGAGTTTGTTGCTGGAATTCAACCTGTCATACAGTAACGATCTTAGTTATATTTCACTAATCATTATCGACATGACCTGCCTTTGCATAAAAACACTATTTTTCACGAAGTTTCTTTAAAAAGCAGACACTACTACTCTTAAATCACAATTCTCCTAGGTCAATTTGGATCAAAGATAAGCCATCCCAATATCTACCCCAGCTGGTCCAAATTGAAAGTGCCCTATGTGAATGTGGTATTCTTGGCCCCATGAGAAGAGACAAAGAACTCTGGAAGCCTGTCTTTGCAAATGGAAATTGTTTTACTATTGCCGCAGATGAATTTCTGGATCAGATAATAATAAACTTCAGTGAGTCACAGCTTCGTAGAGATGCAGAGTTTAACACTTACAAGTTCTTCGGTAATGTTATTAAATTCATCGATAATGGAGGTAACTTTTTGTTTTTCATTTCACACAGAGAATAAGGTAAACCAAGAAGCCTTTACAACAAATTTAAAATAGAGTTATGATGGCACCAGTGTCAATTTGTGAGTAACAAGTAGGCAGATGTTGTGCCATCAGTTAGACATAGATGCTTTGTTGATACGTGGAAATTTGTAATTTCACACAAGGAGGCAAATGAAGCCCTTCTGTTACCATGTTGCACTTTTGTCTAACACACATGTATAACACCACACTATTATTTTCCTTTCAAGATCAAAGCCTCCTTTTTCATTACAGGTATTGAAGGTGTAACCTTGACAGACTTTGTAAAGTGGATGACGGGTTCCCAAGGGTGGACCCTTGGGATTTCCCAAGACGTTTACACTTGAGTTTGTTCACGGGTGCCTGCAGGGCTGTTGCTGTAGGCCCACGGCATCTACATGTGACATCATTATAAAAATACCTCTCCACATCAGTGATGAGAAGACAATGGAGGAAATGATCACCTCAGCAGTTAAAGATTCGCATGGTTTTGGCATGATCTAGATGAGCCATTCGAAGTTTGAAGATTTGTCTAACAGGGTTTAAAGAAATAGGCCATTTGCAATAAGTATATTAAAATTCAGCAGGATAGAAAGTTCGCATTACCATTTACACCCCCTAAGAGTCGCTATCATGTTGACTGTTAATATATCAAAAGTGGCCTCTTGTCAGTTACTTTGTTAATGATGTTCGGTTCAAATTAAGTCAAAAAAATGGGACATACTTCAATAACCACAATTTAACAAACGTGTCGTACAACCATACAGATGTATGTCCCGTCAATTTTACAGTTTTTATGTTACTGTCTCAAAGTGTTTCTATGAAATATGTCTTTCTGTGTTATCTATTATCAAAATGCTTCCATGGTGAATTATTGAAGACATGGTACAATCACTTTAAGTTGAAATGTATGATACTGATGTACATGTATAGTGTAACCTCAACAGTGCTGTAGCCTGCCTCCCATGCTTTTTCCTCCCCTGAAACACATGACAAACTAAGCCTTGAGAATGTGTGTTTGGGAGGCTACAGCACTCTGTGAGCAATGCGTTTTGCAGTATACTTGAAAGGCGTTTTCAAACAGACTTCAAATGCAACTTTATGTTTAACACACTTGTTAAAGTTCATGAATTGATGTCAATTTCTAACAAAAATGCTCCTTCCACTGATTTACATTAAACAAAAAGATTTTAATTGTTGAAATAACTGAAAAGCATTTTCGATTGAGGTGGGAAGCTGTGTAGTAAGTAGAACAGTACATCAGGTACTCCTGGTACTGTGCCATGTCATGAGGGCCTCATACGATGTGTATTCCAGTGCTGCTTAATATTGTCTAATTCATTTTGAATGACTGCCTCGAAACAAAACCATAATGCTTCCACTTGCATTACATTACCTATGTCCAATACTCCAGCATTTACCATGTCCTTAAAAAAGTCTATCCACCAAGCTACTCTACCTCTCCTGAAATGAGACCACCAAGCCTCAATTCCCTGGTTTGCAGGTGAAGAACCATTCTTATGTGTTTTCTCTCCAGCAAATCCATTTTGACCATTCTGGTGAAAGTAGCCTTGCATTCCAGTCATCACACCATTTTCTGTTCCACAATCAGTTCCTAGCAGAATTGGACACCCTCTATTCCCTTTTACACAATCTAAATAGAATCTAGCTACATTTTCTGGTTTGTTGTTCGATCTTGACATCTCCAACCAGAGAATAGAATTTTACCGCTGTATCCGTCTATAGCACCATGGATGGGAAAGCCATAGGGTTTGAGTTTGTCATACCCTAAGAAGTAAACATAATTCACAAAGATGTCAAAAGTTAACAAATATCTCATAAATCATCTTCTTTAGAGGAAGCATGACCAAGCAGTTAATCTGAATCCATACCAAACTTACCATTAGAATGGATTTTTCAAAGAAGGTCAAATAGTTAAGCAATTCTGTAAAAACCAAATGTCAACCAGCTAATCCTGTTATATTCTTTTGAAATTATTTCTTTTGCTCATTTCCTCGGCACCACTATCCTTTCTTTATGCTATATTGAAAATACACTGAAATAAAAAAGCTGTCATATACACAAAAAGCTGTCATAGCAGTCCCACAGTAGCTTTTATAAAATATAAACTAAGATAGTATGCATGCTCTGATTGACCAAGAAGTGTGTTTGCATGAGAGTATGTAAACATGGTTGTTTTTACTTTTTGCACGCAACTCACGCAAGCACAAATTTGAAAAAGTTTTTGAGTTAAAAACTCGACAAGTTTATTTACCCATTCGCTCATTGGAAAATTGTTACAAATATGCTGTGTCATTTTTTTTTTTCGGTTCAGCTGACATTTTAATCGAGAAAAACCCATATTCTTGAAAGCATATTTCTTACAAAACAAGAACTGATTACGTGTACAAAGCTTGTGTACAACACTGTATGTAATAACTGAGCAACTGGGATCTAGGGGAAACCATGCCAGCCCACGTTCTCATATAAACGCATCAAAGTTTAAAGAGAAAGTAAGGCATGGGCAGAGCCTGTCTGGCTAACCGAGTTGGCTCGCCTACAATGTAAACAAGGTCAAACAGGCCTTTCAAGGCCCGTTAGATAATCTAAAACTGCTCCCTTACCTCTCCCTGGAAGCCCTCTTAAGTCTATGAAGAGTGTTAGCTCAAATAGTACTGCATACACGTAGAGCCATTATTTTACCAATAGCAGAAAAGCCTTACAAACATAAGTTCATGAAATTACCATCCACGTGCCAGCAGAAGTGTGGACCGTAACTGACATATTTCCTCCGAGAGAGTCTGCACCTTCTTCTCTGCTGAACTCCTACTAGGTCGACTTCCCGTAAAATAGTTGCTACTAAGTGGTCAGGGACATGAATTCGATGTACTAGCCTCAAAGAATGCCACACTGCTCTGTATCCTAGTCCTTGACCAGAACCACTGATTTGATTCCTGATTAAATCTCGCAGCTGGTCAACATCGACCTCGTTTCCTCTTCTTTGCGAGCCATAATCTTGCAGCCTGCGTTTTAGCATACTTAAACTCATTTTAATGCCGCTACCACCGTGGGGCTTAAGTGCAGGTCACAGGTCAGTTACAGGCCACAGGCCACAGGCCAGGTCACAGGTCAGACAACAGGCCACAGGTCAGACCACAGGCCACAGGTCAGGTCACAGGTCAGACCACAGGTCACACACAAAAACAATAGGACACTGGACAAAAATGTTCTTGATTGACATTTTATTATACAAAAATAAAACAAGCCAACGAACCTCAATTATATTTTTTCTGTTCTGAACTTTACCAAAACCCACACATGAGAAAATATATTCATGTTGATCACGCAAGGAGGACTTGCATTACAGTGTAACCAATGTTGGTAACGAGATCACAAAGGTACGCAAAATCACGTGATTTGTTAGAAAAAACAAGTCTCAAAACGAAGGGTTGTTGCGTTAAGAATATGATGACGTGTTTGTGGATGTTTTGAAACGCATTCGACGGGAAAACGGAAGAAAAACTTAAGGACAGTCTAAAATTTATTTGACCACTGAAATACGGCAACTTTCTTCAGACTTTCCTCGTCCTAAACTCTTCTTGCCACTAGATTGGTCTTCCATCTCTTTACAGGATGGCGGCCTGTTGCTCGCGCTTCGTACCCGTCACAAGATACTGCTGTGTTAAAGTGTAGTCGGCTAAGAACTTCAGACACTGCTATTTGGGCCTCTCGAATAGTTGCTGGACCATATTTCTCGGCTCTTCTCCCAAGAGCTTGCCATTTGCTCACGTTCTGTTGCACAACAGCTTGAAAAACCTCTGTTGGATTTGCCTCGTGGCCCTTAGGTGGGAGATTTCCGCCATTACAACTTGAATCTTTGAAACTGCTGATGTATCAAAGGATTACAGAGCTGCATTTCCATGACTCGCTCCAAGTTATCTTGGCTGCACGGTTTATTTGGAGATGACATTCTAATAACACGACAACACTTCATTTTCAGTGAAAAACGTGATTTGTTTTTCGTACAAATCACATGATTTTGCACACCCTTGAAGGTTCTCTTCCAACTGATTTTCTTGTATCCAGTCAGAATGCCCCACCATTCATTGACCGCCTCATCCGAGTTTGTGCAGCTCTTGTTAATTTATGTCCACCAATATTACCATATGACTAGGAATTTTGTTACATCAGGACAGCTCTGCCCGGTTGTTCAAAGCACTCAAGAGCTAATCCTGGATAAAAGCAAATTTTCATCTCTGTTATGTAACTTTTCAGTGAGGTTTTCCAGTTATGTGTTTTGACCAGTAGTTTTAAGATCATGTAGTCACATGAGATGGCTAGAAACGTTAAGAGAAAAAGTCTAGAGAAAACAAATCGAGACGATCAGACATCAGCTTTCAAACAACCTGGCTCAGTTTTCTAGTCTCCTTTTTCTATAATAACCCATTATCTAGCTGGTGTTTAAAGAATGACCCTTATGCATGATCACATCAGACAAGCAAATTTCACCACCAAGCCTTGTTTGCAAGCACAATTTCCACTCTTTGTGCGTGCGTATTCTTTTCAATTCTACTGCCTTGGGAATTCATTTGTGCAAAACTTCACAACCTTGCAATTTCAAAATGAGGCTTGGTGGTGAAATTTGCTCGTCTGACGTAAACATGCATTAGGATTATTGTTAATCCTTTAAGCACCAATAGTGACCAGTAGGTAATTTCTCCTAACATTACCATTGCTACCAAACATGCAGGTAATGAGAACGAATGAAATGATCACTAAAGATGAAATGTCTTGATGTTTGAATAAATGCTCCCCAGCTGTACCATACGAAATGTGGGGAGAGTAGTAAGGCGAATATACATGTTGATATTGGGGCTTGAAGGCTTAAAGTGCAAGGAACGTAACAGGTGCCACCCAAGATTAATTGGCCAATCACAGGCAATATTTACAGCAAAAAGAGTCACACTTTTTTGTTCATTTGCCAATCAAAATTGATACTTTGTTGGAAATTCAAATTATTGATTGCCTTGTAATATTTTTTCACAATTTTGTGTGGTTTCAAGGTAATTATTGGAAGTTCAGAGCATTCAAGTAACCCCGCACAGCAGTTGCTGCACTGTGTTTTTGTATGTGTGTTCCATGTGGATAGAGGAGCATTGGCACCCTTATACTCACAGTCATTGACATTTTTTGGGTGACTTTGGTGAAGGTACTTTTGGCAATTCTGTTTGATGGCCCATTTCTTAAAGTGCTACTACGATCAAATTTGGGAATTTGTTTTTGATTACATATTTCGAAAATGTATGTAAAAGTGACTTACCGTGCCAAGTTTGGAGTCCAAATATGATCTGGAAGTGTGTTTATTTGCACGACAATTTTCGTAAATGTCTTGCCGCCATTACTCGATTCAAAAAATGACCGGGAGTAGTATTTGAAGGAGTTGGGGCGAGATGTGACGTAGAAAAATCAACGCGACAAAACAAGGTAAACAAACATGGCTAATTTCGCATGCAGGACGAGATATTTTGGAAGCTTTTGGAGGTTCTTTCTTCGCTTTTTTGACTTAAAGCGAAAGTATGCCTGGTAGACGTTGTGTTGTTCAGGACTGTGGAAACGTAAAAGAACGATGAATTCTCCTGATTCGGGCAGCGTTAGATTAAAGTGGAAAAGGTTCGTGTCCATTCATCGGAAGGATTTCAACACAGTGGGAAAATTTGCTGTGTGCTCGGAGCATTTTACAAGGGATTGTTATACGCTTGCTTTTCCGATGAAAGGCATGAAAAGGAATTGGAAGAAGGGGACGTTTTCAACCATTTGGAAAAAATCCTCTCAAACACTATCAAAGCGGAGTCGACGATCGGTGAGTGAAATTACAATGTATTTGCGCTGTGCTTATCACTATTATATTTATTTCCCCATTTACCTGTGACATGATTTTTTCTGGCATCGTTGTTCAATATGAATGCTCTGACTATTTGGACTTCCCATATTGTTGCATGTGTTTTCATACTTTTCTGCTTTCTTCTCATAGTTATAGTAAAACGGGAATTTGCGCTGAGTGGACGTGAAGTCAATTCCCCAATTCCCAGACCTTTCCACTCAAGCGTAAAATTTAGAAAAAGTGAAGCTACATAGAAATCCGGCTCTCTATTTTTGAGAGATTATCTTGCTGTTACTTTGAGATTTGACAGTACTCCAAACTTTCCGCCAAGAAATCTTACAGCAAATTAGGAGTTACACGCGAGTCTTTTAAAGCGACCAAAAATGGACTTAGTCTGATTTCTACATTCTATAAGTTCAGTTACTGTTTGCGGGTTTTTTTTTTTTTTCGTTTGTATTTTAATTCTATTTTCACTGTCTGCAAATTATGCATACATTTTAAGGCAAAGATGCAGTTAAACCTTGCTTCCATTTCTACTTTTGAAAACATCGACATAAAGCTCAAATTTAAACTTGTTTTGAAGGGGAGATATAAAAAATGGTCCTACCTATTTTCATTTTTAGCTACTAAATGAAATTCTGGCTGGTCAAACTACTAATGAGGATACAGAGGAAGAAGACAATCCTGAAGAAGAGGTGATCTCTTTGAAAGGAAGTTCTGCACCTGAGGAGAGTGCTGACACTATGGGGGCTCCCAATCTCAACCCTGAGGAGTGTCCAGAAGTCGAGGGTGTTCTGAACACAAGTCAGGGTTCGATATCCT